AAGCTCAGGGGGAGCATCCACAGAAAAGTGCTCAGGTGGATGGAAGCAAAAAATCAACCCAAATTCCCAAAACAGCCACTTCCAGCTGCCAGGGGCTGAAGGAGCTCGGTCCAGGATAGGATATTATCCATGGAAATGGAGAATAAATCCCAAGGGGGCACAGGGGGGTCGCTGTCCTGTCACAGCACAAACAACCCAATTCCTTCAAACTGGCACCATCAGACAACTGGGAGGGACAAGGGTTTGGGAGCAGCATTCCCACCCTTGGAATTCCTTAAAACTTCAGGGCCTGAAGTTCTGTGATCCCTTCACGGGATCGCAGAATTCCAGAATGGTTTGGGTTGGAAGGGATTTTAAGGATCATCCCATCCCATCCCTTGCCATGGGCAGGGACACCTTCCACTAGCCCAGGTTGCTCCAACCTGGCCTTGGGCACTTCCAGGGATCCAGGAGCAGCCACAGCTCCTCTGGGAATTCTATCCCAGGGCCTCCCCACCCTTCCAGCCAGCAATTCCTTCCCAATATCCCATCTAAACTAGTTTGAAGCCATTCCCTGTGTGCTGTCCCTCCATGCCTTGTCCCCAGTCCCTCTCCAGCTCTCCTGGAGCCCCTTTAGGCCCTGCCAGGGGCTCTCAGCTCTCCCTGGAGCCTTCTCTTCTCCAGGGGAACCCCCCCAGCTCTCCCAGCCTGGCTCCAGAGGGGCTCCAGCCCTTGGAGCATCTCCAGGGCCTCCTCTGGACTCTCTCCAGCAGCTCCACATCCTTCTGATGTTGCTCCCCAGAGCTGGAGGCAGCTCTGCAGGTGGGATCTCCTGGGTTTTCCAGGAGAACACCCTTCCACTGAGTCCACAGCAATGGGAATGATTCCTTAGTATCCTCCTAAGTGTTTCCTTCTTTCCCATCCCTCCATAACCACCAGCACGTTCTCCTTCAGCTCCCCAGCAGATCTGCAGAAGCTGCTGGTTTCCCAGGTTACCAAATCATCCCTTTGCTCATCAGATCCATCCTTTTCCAGCAGTGAGACCTCCCAGCACCAGCCCTCGTTCCAAACCCACCCACCTCCCCGGGCTCAGGGGGCCGGAGCGTTCCCAGGGATCAGAGCTCCTGGAAAAACAGCTCCTCCTGCCCCAGCCCAGAGCTGCTTCTCCAGCCTTCCAACCAACCCTCCAAGGGCCACCAGGAAGACAATTATGTTAAGGAGGTAAATACCTAATTAAGGAAAAAAAAAAAAACCTGGTGCAAAATCAAGGGAAGTTGCACGACAGGCAAAGAAAGGAAAATCACCATAAAAATTAAATAAAACCCTTTCAGGCTGAAAATTCCAGGAGCCACCAGATGGGGAGGGAATGGGAATGGTGGAGCTGGGAAGAGATTTGTCCAACCAGTAGAGAATGGTGGGAATGGTTTGGGTTGGAAGGGACCTTAAGGCCAATCCAGTGGCACTGCCCATCATGGGCTGCTTCTCCAGGAGGAGAATAAGGAAAATCAAAGGTGACAAGAGAAGGATAAAAGCCAAATTGAGCAGTGAGACCTCCCAGCACCAGCCCTCGTTCCAAACCCACCCACCTCCCCGGGCTCAGGGGGCCGGAGCGTTCCCAGGGATCGGAGCTCCTGGAAAAACAGCTCCTCCTGCCCCAGCCCAGAGCTGCTTCTGCAGCCTTCCAACCAACCCTCCAAGGGCCACCAGGGAAAGGAAAATCAAAGGGGACAAGAGAAAGATCAACCCCCAAAGAGTGCAGGTTTGGGAGGGAAGGGGACCAAACCCACACAAAGCATTCCAAGGACAAGGACCAGGTTTCAGCCCAACCTGAGGCTGGTCCTGTTTCCCTTCCCAGAACGGGACAGTCCTGCTCTGGGGCCACTGGGAATTCTCTGGGGGGATTCCTGGCAGCTTTGCAGCTCCCCCAGGGCTCAGGAGGGCAGTGGCCTGGTCAAAGCCCCCCGGGGGGTGTGATTTGCAGCTCCCCAGGGCTCTCTCTGCTCTCCTTTGGGGGTTCCTGAGGCTTTGGCAAGTCTGGGCTTGACATTCCCAGCTCCAGAGTGGGACTCCAACACCCACCTGACTGGCCCTGGTGCTGCATTCCCAGCTTGGGTTGAGGTGACCTCCTTCCCCCAGCACTTCCAAAGCCTTTTTGGAACCCTGCAAACACATTCCTGGTGGAGAGACAGCAGCCCCCTGGAACCAGGAGAGCTGGAGAGGGGGACTGGGACAGTCATTCCCAATAAAACCACGGGGGAGTTTAATTTCTTGATCAGCCTGAAATCATGGAATCACAGAATGGGTTGGAAGGAATTTAAAGGTCATCTAGTTCCAACTCTTTTCCATGAGCAGGGACACCTTCCACTAGATCAGGGATCCCAGCCTGGCCTTGGACACTTGCAGGGATCCAGGGGCAGCCACAGCTTCTCTGGGAATTCTATTCCAGAGCCTCCCCACCCTCCCAGCCAGGAATTCCTTCCTCATATCCAATCTACACTTATTCCCTGTCAGTCCTAAGCCATTCCCCTTTGTCCTGTCACTCTTGACAAGCAATGAGGCACCTCCACCAACAGACACAGGTAAAATGTTTAAAACACCTTACAAAACACCTGCACTGCTTGAAATGTTCCACCTTCATCACTCCCTGTGATCAGTGGAGCCTCCCTTTAACTCTGCAGATCTCCCCCTTATTAGGGTGTGCAAAAAAAGAATTAACATTTCCTGGCACTCCCCTCCCTTTAAAACCTAAAAAAACCAAACCCAAAAAAAGCCCAAAACCCACCCCTGTGCTCTTTGCTTTGATGGGCTGAGACACGAAATGCTCCTCTGAGATAAATTTCCTATTTTAATTGATGAGAATTCTTATGAATTCTTGTTTGTGAGGAGAGGGGGGTTCCTCACACAGGAGAAGCTGTTTTTACCCCGCCACGTCCCCGGTGCCATAATTGGAGCCTTGTTAAAGGCAAATTGATGCTGATTCCAGCTGACACTCCTCAGTTCAGGGGGAAGACTTTCCAAATGCTCACTGAACACCTGACAAAATCCAGCCTGACTCATGACTAAATTAGCCTGTATTTTATGCTCTTAAAAAAAAAAACCTGCCTAAGTGTTTGACTCGATAAAGCTCACATTTAGCTCGGGAGGGTGTTTTCCATCCTCCTGCAGCACTAAAAAGCAAGCTGTGATTAACCTTTACACGCTGGTTTTTTGCTGCTCTGAGCAGCTTTATTGGATGTTTTCTTGCCCCCAGAGCACCCGAATTCACCCCCCTGAGGGCTCTGCAGTGCTCCCAACCCTCCCCCTGCTCTGGCTGAGTGTTAAACATGACAAAAGATCTGGGACAGGAATCAAATCACCCACGGTCGAAAGACAACGGGAGGAAAAGACTCCTGGAGTTTGCGCCGGGATCTTCGGGAAGGAGACACCTCAGGACGTGCTCCAAGCCAGGATGCCAGCGCTGCTTTGTGCAGAGAAGGGAATTTAAACCCTCAAAGCCCCAATTAAGAGGACAACTGGTTTTTGCCAAACAATTTTCTACTAAAAAAAAAGTCTCTTCGCTAAACAATTGTTTTTTACTAAACAATCATTGTCCTTATGTTTGTTTTTCCTCCTCTTCTCCCAAACACTCACACCAAGACCTCATATTAAAACACAATATTGCTGATTTTAACACCAAACCAGCCGTGAAAAAATCAAAATCATCAGCTTTTCAGCTGTTGTTGCTCTTTCTTCTGCAACCCCCCCCCCAGTATCCAACCAAATCCTGGACAAATCCCCCCCACGTGGATCCCGTTCCGTGGATCTCAACCGCTTAAGGGAAGATGGAACCAACTGGTAGAGGCACAGAGCACGGGGAAGGGGTGTGGGCACAGGGAAGAGGTGTGGGCAGAGGGAAGGGATGTGGGCACGGGGAAGAGGTGTGGGCAGAGAGAAGGGATAGGGGCACAGGGAAGGGATGGTGGGCACGAGGAAGGGATGGGGGGCACGGGGAAGGGATGGGGGGCACAGGGAAGGGGTGGTGGGCACAGGGAAGGGATGGGGGGCACAGGGAAGGGATGGGGGGCACAGGGAAGGGGTGGGGACACGGGGAAGGGATGGTGGGCACAGGGAAGGGATATGGGCAGAGGGAAGGGATGGTGGGCACAGGGAAGGTGTGGTGGGCACAAGGAAGAGATGATGGGCAGAAGGACATGGTGGGCAGATGGAAGTGTGGTGGGCACAGGGAAGCTCTGGTGGGCACAGGGAAGGGATGATGGGCACAGAGAAGGGATGGTGGGCACAGGGAAGGGATGGTGGGCACAGGGAAGAGATGGTGGGCACAGAGAAGGGATGGTGGGCACAGGGAAGGGATGATGGGCACAGAGAAGGGATGGTGGGCACAGGGAAGGGATGGTGGGCACAGGGAAGGGATGATGGGCACAGAGAAGGGATGGTGGGCACAGCGAAGGGATGTTGGGCACAGGGAAGAGATGGTGGGCACAGAGACGGGATGGTGGGCACAGGAAGGGAGCTGGGCCACAGAGAAGGGATGGTGGGCACAGGGAAGGGCGATGGGCCAGAGAATGGATGGTGGGCACATGGAGCCCAGGGGCTGTTTGGCACAGGGAAGGGATGATGGGCACAGAGAAGGGATGGTGGGCACAGAGAAGGGATGGTGGGCACAGGGAAGAGATGGTGGGCACAGAGAAGGGATGGTGGGCACAGGGAAGAGATGGAGGGCACAGGGAAGGCATGGTGGGCACAGGGAAGGCATGGTGGGTACAGGGAAACTGTGGTGGGCACAGGGAAGCTGTGGTGGGCACAGGGAAGGCATGGTGGGCACAGGGAAGGGATGGTGGGCACAGGGAAGGGATGGTGGGCACAGGGAAGGCATGGTGGGCACAGGGAAGGGATGGTGGGCACAGGGAAGGCATGGTGGGTACAGGGAAACTGTGGTGGGCACAGGGAAGCTGTGGTGGGCACAGGGAAGCTGTGGTGGGCACAGGGCAGGCGTGGTGGGCACAGGGCAGGCGCGGGCTCACCTGTGGCCGGGGGTGGCCGGTGACCAGGCAGGTGAGCTCCAGGGTCTCTCCCTCGCGGATGGTGTAGACCCTCTCGGAGTATCGCTCCTCCTCGATGTTACAGGCCAGCCCCGAGTGCACGATCCTCACCGTGGGGGGGGCTGGGGACACACACACGGGGAGAAGCCACGTCAGCAACACTCCTCAACAACCCCGGCACCACCCCCAGAGCACCCCCTGCACGGAGGGGCTGCACGGAATAAACCACTCAGCCAGGCTGGCAGAGACCTCTGAGATCCTCCAGTCCAACCCGGGACACAACCTCGCCGTGTCGCCCGGCCCGTGGCACTCGAAGTGAGGCAAGGCCCAGAGAGCAAATGTAATATAGTAATAAGAAAGGCAAAGAGTTAAATTCAGAATATGGGCTTTAAGCAAAAGCATGAAGGATGTGATCTTAGAAACAGCAGAGGCCATAATTCCTTAAAGAATGCAGTGACACAGAAGAACAGAAGCATAAGTACACAGGAAAGCAGAAAGAACTAAAAGGCTAAAATAAGTATATAGAGAGGAAAACAAAGACTGATAAGGAAGGAAGATGAGCCAAGACCTAGGTATGCTTGCCAAGGTATCAGGAACTTCTGCCAAATACACCAGGAGAGTAGCCAAAGTAGGAGAGTTCACAAAGTTCATGATGATGATGGAAAAAGGGACGGGGGCTCGTGAGGCTGAAGAACAGGAACGACCCTCCCAGATTCTCCCCAAATTGAAGACCGCACCCCAAACTCCGCCTAAACTCCGCCTGTTATGAATATTAAAAATGTATGTTGCAATATTATGAATATTCATGCTTGATGATGTAATTGCTTGGCAAAATTGTATAAAAGTCCAGCTGTGAGTTACTATGATGCAGCAGTTTGTCCAGGGAGGCCTGGCTGCTTCCTGGCGCTGTAATAAAGACACCTCTTGCTTAGAGATTGAAAACTTTAAGCAGTTTCTTCATCCCTGCCTTTTGGGGCATAAAATCGGCATCACACTGATGCCACATCCAGTCTGTCCTTAAACACCTCCAGGGATGGGGATTCCCCCCCCTCCCTGGGCAGCCCATTCCAAGGGTTGATCCCTCTCTCTGGAAAGAATTTCTTCCTGATGTCCAACCTAAACCTCCCCTGGTGCAGCTCGAGGCTGGGCCCTCTTGTCCTACTGCTGGTTTCTGGGAGAAGAGCCCGACCCCACCTCACCACAACTTCCTTTCCTCACACTGACCCCCCTTTGCTTCCTCAGCACATACGGAATCCCAGGATATGCCAAGTTGGAAGGGACCCCCAAGGAACATCCAGTGCAAGCCCTGGCCCTGCCCAGGACACCCCAACAATCCCCCCCTGTGCCCCAGAGGATCATCCAAACCCTCCTGGAGCTCTGGCAGCCTTGGGGCCGTGCCCACTGCCCTGGGCAGCCTGGGCAGTGCCAACCACCCTCTGGGGGAAGAACTTCAGTTACTCTTAAACTCAAATTACACTTGACATAAATATTGGGATTCTCATTTGCTGTGGAGAGGAATCACAGAGAACATCCAACAGCACGGAGAAGTTGTGGCTACCCCATCCCTGGAAGTGTTTGAACAGGTTGGACGGGGCTTGGAGCAACCTGGGCTATTGGAAGGTGTCCCTGCCCATGGCAGGGGGGGCAATGAGAGGGGCTTGAAGGTCCCTTCCAACCCAAACCAGTCTGGGATTCCTCCTCCACCTGCCAAGGTGGGTGTTTTAGGAGCTCTCAATCCTGGCTTGGCTCCAGAATCAACTTCCCAGAATCCCAGAACCTGCTGAGCTGGAAGGGACCCCCAAGGCCCATCCAGTCCAACCCTCAGCCCTGCCCAGCCCCAGCCCCAAGAGTCCCCCCTGTGCCCCAGAGGATCATCCAAACCCTCCTGGAGCTCTGGCAGCCTTGGGGCCGTGCCCACTGCCCTGGACAGCCTGGGCAGTGCCAACCACCCTCTGGAAAAACCTTTCCCTAAAATCCACCCTGACCCTGCCCTGGCACAGCTCCAGCCCTTCCCTGGGTGCTGTCCCTGGTCCCCCCAGAGCAGAGCTCAGTCCCTGCCCCTCCTCTGCCCCTCCCCAGGCAGTTGGAACTTCCCTGAGCTCTCCCCTCAGTCCCTGTGCCCTCAGCTGCTCCTCATCCAGGAGATTCCATGACTTCAGCCCAAAATCCTCTCTGAAGGCTTCTCGCGACCTTCTCCTCGAGGTCCTTTACCCTCATCTTCATCGCCCTCCTTTGGATGCTCTTTAATGACTTAAATCTTTCCATGCTCTCCATTAATCCCTCACAATCCCCTCAACCAAACCCTTCCCAAACCCTTTGCTTTTTGTTTCCATTTCCAACGTGAGCTCTGCGTTATTGTCTTTTCTTTTTTTTTTTAATTATACATCTTCCCAAATGTATTATCACGCTCGTTATGCAAATGAAAAGACTTAATTAAAACAGGGAAATTAAGCAGGAGAAACAGTGGCACTGATGCTGCTTCCTTTCAAAGCAGAGACCAAAATCCTGTTGCTGTCAGCGGGATCGGGATTTGGACCAGAGGTTAAATTCAGGCACAACTTTAATTTTCTTGGATATACGACCCATAGTACAGGAATTTACACAACTCTACGTGGTGTACATTAAAAAAACCTGTTAATACCACCCATATAAATTACAGCTCCACTTCCAGGAGCCTCCAAAGCACATTCCTGGCACTACAATTTTATTTCTGAAGCGTGAAATCCACGAGTATTACAATTTTCAGGGAGCGGATCGATGGGAGAAAGGAGTTGATTTACAGTCCTGCTGCCAAATAAAATCACAAAACCAAACAGGAGATAAAATGCCATTCTGGGGGATATTAAAGACCTGGAATTTTACCCTCTCTGCTCATGATGTGATGTTCCTGTGCAAGTGGAAATGCCTTAAAATCTTAATTCAACTCTTAAATCCCAATTAGAGCTGAGTCCAGCAGAATTTGAAGTCACCAAAATCCCTGTCCCATTCCCCAGGGAGGAGCCTGATGCTGCTGGGAGATGGGAGAAGTTGATTTACAGTCCTGCTGCCAAATAAAATCAGAGAAACCGAAAAGCACCAGAGATAAAATATCATTTTGGGGGATATTGAAGACCTGGAATTTTACACTCTCTGCTCATGGGGTGATGCTCCTGTGTAAGTGGAGATTCCTTAAAATCTTAATTCAACCCTTAAATCCCAATTAGAGCTGAGCCCAGCAGGACCTGAAGTCACCAAATTCCCTGTCCCATTCCCGATGGAAGAACCTGATGCTTCCACAGGAGAAGGAAGATAATTTACAGTCCTGCTGCCAAATAAAATCACACAAAACAAAAAGCACAGGCGATAAAATATCATTCTGGGGGATATGAAAGCCCTGGAATTTTACCCTCTCTGCTCATGGGGTGATGCTCCTGCTCAGTGCAAGTGGAGATGCCTTAAAATCCTAATCCAACCCTGAAATCCCAACCAGGGAGCAGAACAATTACAGCTGTGCCCAGCAGGACTCTGCCAACACCCACACGGAATTCCCAGGCTCTGGCACCCCTGGAGATCCCCCCAGCATCATTCCATTGCTGGTCCAACCCCCACACAGCTCCCAGATGACACAGTCAATGATTCCCAATGCCTGGCATGAATAAAAACATGCCAAGAATTCCAACTTCTGCCCCTGACCTTCCAGAGCCTGGAGAAAACGAGACCTGAGCAAAGGATGGTGTCAGGTCAAGGAAAAGCAGCAGGAAAAGAGGAATTCTTTCAGAATGGAATGACTCAGCCTGACATCCCCAGGTACCTTGCACTGCCCTGCCTGTCTCAGACTTCCATATTTAGCTCATTTTTCCGTGTGCTTGGCCTGGGTGAATCCCTTCTGAGAGAAATGGAAGTTTCCTCCACAGGAACATGGAATGGTTGAGCTTGGAAGGGACCTTGAAGATCATCTCATTACCAGCCAACACCTCCTAGGTTGCTCCAAGCCCCGTCCACCCTGGCCTTGGACACTTCCAGGGATCCAGGGGCAGCCACAGTACCTCTGGGAATTCTTTTCCAGCCCCTCCCCACCCTCCCAGACAGGAATTCCTTCCCAATATCCCATCTAATGAATCCTCCACCCAGTGAAGTATCAGCAAAGTGTAAAATTGGGGTTTCTCTTGTTCCAAAATGCAGCTGCTGACAGAGCTGATTCCAAAATGGACCATTTGCAAGAGAAAGAACCACAAAAACCAGCAAGTCAAGGGCAGGATTTGGATAATTGGTGTATTTGGGATTTCCTGGGGAGTTCTGAGATTTAAATCAGGGAATTATCTGGGGTTGGTCCCTTCCCATGTGTTGCTTTATGAAATATTTGCTTTAATGGCACTCTAAGTTCTGGTTTTGGTCCATAAAGAATCCTGGAGTGATTTGGGTTGGAAGGGATTTAAATCCCATCCCATTCCACCCCCTGCCATGGGCAGGGACACCTTCCACTGGATCAGGGATCCCAACCTGGCCTTGGACACTTCCAGGGATCCAGGGGCAGCCACAGCTTCTCTGGGAATTCTATTCCAGGGCCTCCCCACCCTCCCACCCAGGAATTCCTTCTCAATATCCCACCTAAATCTCCCCTTTTCCAGCTCAAAGCCATTCCCTGTGTCCTGTCCTTCCATCCCTTGTCCCAAGTCCCTCCCCAGGTAATTCCATTTGGGAGTCCCTGTGACACCAAGGCTCTGGTTTCCAATGAAAGTGGGAGAAGGGAACATTCCTAAAAACACTGGAACTCGATTTCCCCTTTGCTCTGACAATTCAACCCCTCCCAACTTCCTTTTCATTTAATTTATTTTATTTATCCTTAATTTGTTAGCTTTAATTTATCCTTAAATGTTTCTCCTGCTTTCTTTAGCAGCACATGGATGAGTGAGGAAGCAAAGCTGAGCTCCTCAGAGATGAGCTGAAAAGACCCACACGAGGCAGAGAAGACCCAAAACAACCCCGTTGAAATTCCAGCCTCTCCTAATCAGGGGATTGTTTAGGTTGGAAAAGCCCTCTGAGATCATCGAGTCCAACCATCCCCCAGCACGGCCACCACTGAGCCACGTCCCCAAGTGCCACATCCACTTTAAATCCACCATTCCATGTGGGAATCTTCCCTCACATCCAACCTGACCCTCCCCTGGCACAACTTGAGGTCGTTTTCTTGTCCCGTCCCTCGTTCCCTGGGAGAAAATCCCAATCCCACCCGGCTCCCCTTTCCTATCAGAGAGTTGCAGAGAGCAAAGAACACCCCAAAAATCCCCTTTTCCAGCTGGACAAACATTCCTTGTGTTTCCTCTGCCTCTTCCTCCCTCAGCTGAGCCCGAGATGTCCCTGCAAGAGCATCTCCTCTGCAAAAAAAGGGCTCCCAGCACTTCCCCCATCCCAGGTCACCATCGTGTGTCCCAACCGAGGTAAAGAATTAAGGAATCATTCCCTCTCTTCCCTGACCTCATCCTGGGTCACCATCGTGTGTCACCACCGAGGCAAAGAATTAAGGAATCATTCCCTCTCTTCCCTGACCTCATCCTGGGTCACCACCGTGTGTCCCCACCAAGGCAAAGAATTAAGGAATCATTTCCTCTCTTCCCTGGCAGGAATTTATTTCCTGACTTAACTCTTGCTCTTTCTTTCACCCGGTGAGAAATCACTTAATTCAATTTGAGGGCACGAGCTGCTCTTTTTTCCTGTTCTCTGATAACAAGATTTATGGATTTTGCCTGGACTTATGGATTTTTTTACTCTCCCAAAAGGAATCTGAGGGCAATGTGGGTACCCTCCCTTCAGTCAGCAGCACACATGGGATGTACTCTTAGCAAAAGTCTCTCTCTTGATCTTGGAAATAAAAATTGAATCGCCTGGAATATCAGCACCGAGAAAACATCCCTCTGGAATGGGACTTCCAGGCAGGAATTCTGAGGAGGGGGCAAGTTTAGGGGTTTTTTCTGTCTGTTTGTAAAGTGGGTCCTGGTTGGAAGTGCTTAAAAAAAAAGTCATTGAGAGGCAGAGACTTGAAATCCTTGACAGCCTTAAACTGGGAATTTTCTGGTTTTCGGTGCTTGAGTAGTGGCCTCTGAGATTGGTGCTCCCAAATTTCCCAGACCCTTCTTCCAGGAAGACAGGGAATGACACTGGTTCATTCACAACACCCTTACAAACCACAAATAGGACATTTCCCAGCGTTTTCCCACCGATCCAGGGGGAATTTTAGAGATGAGAGTAAAGGGAACCCTTCCTACACGACACCTCCCTCCTCAAAGAGCTCTCGGAGCAGTTCTGCAACCCACAGACTGCAAGGCAGTGGGTTCAAGGATCTTCTAAAATAAGAAAAGGAATATGATCTACAAAGGGAGGGTTTAATTGAAGCGACACTTTGTTGTTCCTGGCACCACCAACCAGCTGCCGGTGCCAGACCCTGTTCCAACACCATTCCAGGCTGGCAGTAAACACGTCTCACTTGTTTGGCTGCTCAAATATACTCAAATACACTCAAATAGAACAGTAAATAATTTGAATTTCCCCCCCAACTAAGATGGCAGAGCTCAAAGATCAAAAAAAAAAACCCGCTCAAAAATTGTTTTTTCCAAAGGAATCCCGACTTCTGAACCACCTGATGTAAAATGTCTGTCAGAGGTGGGTTTTTAACCCTCAGAAGTGGATTTTTAACCCGGGAAATGCCGGGCCCAAAGTTCATGATGAGGGGCACTGAGGGGATGGATTCATCCCTAAGGAAAGGGGACACGGAGAGAGAGAGAGAGGGGATGAGAGGAAACAGCCTTGAGTTGTGCCAGAGGAGGTTTAGATGGGATATTGGGAAGGAATTCCTGGCTGGGAGGGTGGGGAGGCCCTGGAAAAGAATTCCCAAAGAAGCTGTTGTTGCCCCTGGATCCCTGGAAGTGTCCAAGGCCAGGTTGGAGCAACCTGAGATAATGGAAGGTTTCCCAAAGTAGACACCAAAATAGATACAAAAAATAAAAAGGCCCTACATCCCATTTTCCCCACTTTTTCCCCATCATTCTTTGCTTCTGAGGTTTTCTTGGGAAAAGCAGCCTGGGATTGTTTTCCATTGGCACAGGGGCTTCAGCTCCGAGTTTGAGCATCCTCACACCTTCCTGATGAAGAGGGACTTTCACCAGGAACTGGAGTGACAGGACACAGGGAATGGCTTCAAACTGCCAGAGGGCAGGGAGAGATGGGATATTGGGAAAGAATTCCTGGCTGGGAGGGTGGGGAGGCCCTGGCACAGGTTGCCCAGAGAAGCTGTGGCTGCCCCTGGATCCCTGGAAGTGTCCAAGGCCAGGTTGGAGCAACCTGGGCTGGTGAGAGGTGTCCCTGCCCGTGGTTTGAAAAGTCCTCTAAAATCATCCTCTGAGTCCAACTAAGTCATCTTCTAAGTCCCCAGCAGTGCCAAGGCCACCACTGCAAACAGGGGGATCCTCTTCCCATCACATCTTGGCTGCACCTCAGCCCTTCCCTGTGGATCCAGTTGCCTGGTCAGGTAAGACCAAAAATTCCCCTCATCCCTCCCCCTGGAAACAAATCCATCCAACAGCACCACAAAGAAAGGAAAGGAATGGGAGAGGGAGAAAAAAAAAAAATCAAAATCAACTTCCTAAAGTTTTCTCTCTTCAGCACAGAGTCATCAAGGCTGGAAAAGATCATCAAATCCATCAACCAGCACCACCACTGGGTTCAGCACTAACCCACGGCCCCAAGTGCCACATCCATGGGTTTTCTGAGCAATTCCAGGGCTGGGCACTGCAAACCTGCCTGGGCAGCCCCTGCCAAGGCCTCACCACCCTTTCCAGGA